TTTCATTTTACAATCTATATGTTGTTCATCTCGAATACGTACATAGGGTTAGGCCAACTACTTAGAAGGGCACACTAGTCTATCTGCATTCGAACTCAACTTTTTTAGAGTAACTTTTTCTTTGTAAAAATGGAATAAAAATGGGATTAGCTAGTGGTTTCGTAAAAATTTTACTATTTCAGGAGTTGAGAAGACTTAAAGAGGTATTTCAACCTCCTTTAATCATAATCGTGCAATTCACTAAAGCTAAAAATCAAACTTAGAATGTACCGTATAAAATACGGATCTGAAATTATCATTAAACCACCTGCAGTGATTACTTTTTCAAAGTACTTTAAAACATCTATCATCATCCATTCTATACTGCATGGGCAAACAGTTTTGGGAATTTCTCTTGGGAAAAGGTAAATAAATTGCCAAAGCAGGCCTAGCAAACAGTTTTCCCCCTGTCCGGTCCAAATGTCCAGAAAGAAAAGGTTTCTGAGTTGTGACGGTGGCGACGTGGGCGAGAAGAACCGCTTACTCTCGGACGCGGACTGTTTGATGGACTAAAAGCTGACAAATTCTACGCGGTTAATTAAAATCTCCCTCCAGCTGACGTGGAGCCGATCGCATCTTATCTCGTCTGCAGTCGCTGGAACCTCCTCTCCCACTCCCTGTCCTCTTCACGCGCTTTCACCAAAATTATCGCACCACAAAAAAAAAAAATATATTAACATTTCAAAATTTTATTTTGGCTCTCAAAACTTTCTATATTTAGAAAGAAAAATACACTTCTGATGAGTATATAAAAAGATTTTTAGAATGCTAATAACAATTCCCAAAGAAAATAGTGAACATCTAAATTGGGTGGAGTTTTTATATGTGTCGAGAACACATCATGTTGCACCGCATATTATAATACAAATAGTTGGATACTTGAAAAACAAACTCTTAACTATTTTTATTATAATACTTAGTATACCAAACTGTATTTCCAGCCCACTAAATTTTTTTCTCAAATTAAGATGTACACTTTATATAGTTATATAAATTAGGATGCAATACCGTATTATGCGACAACAGTGATGCATAAACATCACATTGATTAATGTTATTATTTTGTTAAATGTGATTGAATAACCTATATAAGATGAGTTTTGTTCGAAGATATTTCTAAAGTTTTTAGACACAACAAGAATTAGACTGTAGTTTCAACTTTGGCGTCCTTAATATCAAAAGAAAAATGCTAAGTGAGAAAATATTTCGTACCATTCTATTCTACGTTGATTAATAATTTTATTTTATTCAATATTAATTGTATGCATCATTTAACATATCACGTCATGAAAAATATAAACTTCATAACCATAGTCAGTCCAAAATAATATTATGTTTGAAATTATGTAAATGATAAGGAGCCAACTTCCTAGTAAAGTCGTAGCAGCGCGTGACAAGTCTTTTGACAAGACTCCGTCAAACTGAAAAATCAACAGTTTGAGGTTCCAAAACACACTTTAAATTCACACAAAATCCGCATAAACCTCACACCTTCTTCAACACTGCACCCAAAACCCAAATTAACCAGCAGCTTATTTAGCTCACACCACTCTTCCTCCACCACCACCTCCTCCTCCTCCTCCTCATTCTTCCAATCCCATTACTTCCCTCCAAATCACTTCATATTCTCCAAGTTTTTCACAGAAACCCTAATGGCAAAAACGGTATTAATCCTCTTCCTCATAGTGTTGTCATCAGTGCTAACATCTTCTGCATCCGCTAGGCTTTTGAACGACCACCTTACGTTATTACCAGAAAACCCTTCACAACCACGGAAACAGCAAGTGTTGCCATACCACAAAGACGACAATACAGATATTCAAGCTTCTGCTGTTGAAAGTTCAAGATTTGGTGCTGCTGCAGCTGCAAAGTATGGACCGCTCGTTTTGAATCTTCTTCCCAAAGGGACAAAGCCGCCTTCTGGACCAAGCAAAGGAACCAACGACCTCAAGAACTAAACACATCGAGTGATACGAATCGAAGCAGATTTCATTTCTCTGTGTTTATTTATTTATTTATAGCAAGAAACAATAGTTTGATATTTCATTAATTAATCCAAACAAATACTGGTTTAAGTCGAGCATTAAGCAAGGTTTATCCACTAATGATCCATATCATGAGTCAAGCATTAAGCTAGGTTGTACGTTTTTTCTTTGATCTTTTTCAAAGGAAATGACCTCATTTCAAAACTATTAGAATGAAATACAATCCTTCAAATATAAAGTTCTGAATGAAATCAAGATAGTTTCCTCAAATCATGACAAGTTTATATTAACCAAATTTGTAGCGCATGACACCAAATTTATAATAACTTAAGTTCCATAAGCCATAAATTTTGTTTCAATTACTTTAAATTTGGTGCATGCATGGAAACTTAAGTTCCTACAAGCGTTACATGTTTCAAATATGAAAGCTTCATAACTTATAACAAAGCTATATACTTTAATTTACCCTCATTTCATTTATTTTTATCCTTCAAGTGGAGTAATTTAATCACAAAGTCTACTCCTGGTTTCAAACAATCAATTAACAATCAAGGGTGCCTGCAGACCATGATCTATAGCTAAACAATTTAATTGAATATTTCGGTTGAGAATAACAACACCTAATATATAAATTAAAAAATTGCAAAGAAGTTGACATTTCCTTGTGAAGATAGAAGTCTTTCTATAGTTGAAAGATTAAGAAATCAACGTTTGCTGTCCAATTTTGACTTTGATAGGTATAGCTACAGACTGCAGTTTAAAGAAAGACAGGGAACCTTAAGGAAAAACGAAAGATATTTAGGCCCCTCGAGTTTTTTTTTTTTTTTTTTTTTGATCAAAATGGTCTCTGAATTTTACATAATTTCTTACTTTGATATTGTAATGAAAATCGATAGTAAGTGGTTCATAAGTTTGTTCACTATAAATCTCATTTTGGTCATAGGCTGAAAAATTTGTCAATGTCATCATTTAATTGTCACTTGAATAGCTATGAGATTGCATTTTTAAGTGCATTTTTGTTAAACCAATCTCTCTACTTAACAAAGATATGAATTGACAGATTTTTTTATGAAATGACCAAAATGATTTACAGTGGACAAACTCAGAGACCACTTCTATCAATTTTCATCATCAGAAACTAAAGTGAAGAATTATGTCAATCTCAGAAACCATTTTAACTAAAAAGCCGAAAACAATGAGTATTCTTATTGTTGTTTTCTAATTAGATTAGTGATGAGATCATTAAGTGGGTCATTTTTTTTTTTCTTTTCAGTACATCGCTCTTTTACATTAATTAAGGGGGAGTCGACTAAGCCATATAATAGGTAACCTAATTTGGTATCGAATTTGTTATCCATAAGATTTGAATCTAAGATCTCTTATATTTAAATGAAGATGAATAACATCAAATCATAATACTGAATAGTTAAAGTAGGTTAGTTTTGAAATCAAGAAAGATGAACGTGAAGACGCAGCTGCTTGGTGCCCCAAGTAACAAAGCTGTTCAACCTACCAGTCAGTCAATTAGTCTATTAGACCTTGGTTTTAGAAGGCTTTGCAAGTAATCTCTATCCATTGGCACCCTTTGAAAAATTAGCAGATCAAGAAAGATGAACGTGAAGGCGCAGCTGCTTGGTGCCCTGAGTAACAAAACTGTACAACCTACCAGTCAAGTCAATTAGTCTATTAGACCTTGGTTTTAGAAAGCTTTGCAAGTAATCTCTATCCATTAGCACCCTTTGAAAAATCGGCAGATAATTACGTGGAGAACAAAGCTTCCCTTGTTTACTTTTTCTTTTTGGTCGAAAGCTTTACTTGTTTACCATCTTATGCTTATCAAGTGCGATATAGTCAACGACTTGATGTCATCTCCAAATGCCATGTTTGTAACGTAGTTCTACACTTAAGAAAAACTTATCTTTATGGATTCATTATTTTTTATCAAGTAATGTTAAATAAATTAAATTTATAGACAAAATTTGTAAACTAAATTACATTGAATTGACGATTGAATTATTCTTAATAGTTGATAAACATGCTCATTTTATATTGGTGATACATCATTTAACTTACAACTTTTATATATAAATTTAATCTTTCTAACATTATCCTTTTTCATTTGCTGCAAATCACAATTCACGTATATACAAAAATAACTTATATGAAGTAATGTTGAACATCATGCACGTTGTCTTTTCAGTTGTCACATGTAACAACACACACGAGTCACTCGCAAAACCAAAGAAAGCTAAAAAAAGCCTTCACCCAAATTACAAAGATCAAAATGATAATTTTTTTATACGAATAATAAAAAAAATACGTAAATCCAAAAATGAGATGATGAGTCATGACATGACATTTACGGGATAAGACTTAATTATTGCTTGATTCTTCGAGAATAATCTAATAATTTTTTTAACAAAAAAATATTATCTATTTTGAGAAGGAGACGTGCATTTAATCTTATACTGAACTAATTAATAATTAATTTGTAATAAAAAGAAGTAATGGTATAATAACTTCAATTTTCATATATTATTTGTACTATATTTCTAATAGAAATAGAGCTTACTAACATAAGTATCTTATTCTATTAGAGGAGAAATTTTTCAGATGTACTGGAATTATAGCCATGTACCTCAAGTGACATAAAAAAAGTGGTTAAATTTTTTTCTTCAAGTATCTAACTACTTGTATTGTAATATTTGGATGCACCGATTGTACTTTTGATACACTGTAAAATCTCTCACTAATAAATGTGGTAAGACTGATATTGTTGTTTTTTAAAAATAAATAAAAAATAGGTAATACTAGGAATTAAATTTATAAAAAAAATTTAATAAACTAAATGACATAAAAATTATTTATTGAATTATTGATAAACATACATAACATATCAATTTAATTTATAAATTTATCTTACAAATTTAGTGTCCTAATATTACCGATAAAAAATTGGCGGGTGTTTGGCCTTATATCCCATGTCGCTACTTTCCTTCTTTGTCGAATATTATGGGTTCCTTCCGATTCACGGACTCGCAGATTTAAAAAGCCAAAAGAAGATCGAGGAAGGGAAAAAGACAGAGCATTCATTCAACAATGGCGAAGAGGAAGATCACTCTCTCTCTCTACACTCTGATTCTCTCTCTATCGGTTGTCTCCTTGGCAGTTGCAGTCAGATTAACGCCTGTCCTGCAAACCCAGGAGAAGCCCAGTATTAAAAGACCAACATTTAATCGGATTTTTGATACTTCCAAGTATGGGATTTTGCAGCTCAACAACGGCTTGGCTCAAACGCCTCAGATGGGGTTCCTCTCTCTCTCTCTCTCTCTCTCCCTCTCTCTCTCTAACTTGTAGTCTTTGAAGTCTGTTCTTTCTTGGTCTGCTTACTCCTTCCCAGCTTTGGATTGTTTGTATTTGATGGAAAATATCAAATCTTTATGTGTTAATTGGAAAATTTTGTGGGTTTTTAGAATTGGGTAGCTTGGAATTACAGCTTTATAGTTACCCTTTTGGTGGTTTACTTCTTGTTGGATATATGAAGGGAATTTCACTTCTTGACATTGTAATTGTGTTTAATGAGTATTGTACTATATGTGGGCAGGTGGAATAGCTGGAATTTCTTTGCTTGCAATATTGATGAAACCGTGATCAAAGAAACCGGTAAATTTTGTGCTTTCATTGTTCATCTCCTTTCGTTGCGATTGATTCTGCTCCGATACCATTTATAGATCATTGGTTGCATTTCCTTATTGCATCAGTGTTTGTTTTTGTGCCGGTGTATCCGGCACATGGTGAAATATGCTTATATTAATTGGGAAAAATGACCATTATGATTCGATCGGTTCAATGAAGTATAACATTTCTTCATCCGCAATCGAATTTTGTGAAAGTACTAACATGTATTTTGATGATGGACAGCTGATGCGCTCATCTCAACTGGCTTAGCTGATTTAGGCTATGTTTATGTCAATATAGGTATCATTCTGGCAAACCTTAAGTATTTAGTAAACTTTAACATTTGCTCATACTTACGATGTAATGCAATGTCAATAAATGCAGATGATTGCTGGTGTCCAACACGAAATTCTGAGGTCAGTTGAATTGCATTACTTAACCAAGATATATTTCTCATTGTCTCTATAATTTTTGGTCTCTGGGGAATACCGGTCTTCATCGTAGATGAAGGCACTTCTGCTTTAAATTATTTAAGTGCAACTTTTCAAAATCATATCTCAGTCAGTAGCTATAAGTTCTTCTCCACTCTACCGATATATGCGCACAAACATGGAAGAATATAAATTTTCCGATAGAGGTTCTACCATGGAAATCGACGTCCTTGTAAAATTGTGAATTTGATGTATGCTTAGATTTTGAATTCCGAACTGTTCTTGTTTCAGGGTCAATTGGTCCCGGATCCTATAGCATTTCCATCGGGAATTAAAGCGCTTGCTGATTATATACATGGAAAGGACTCAAGCTTGGAATTTATTCTGACGCTGGGTAGGATGAATGAAACTCTTATGTATTTTTATTTGAATATCAAGTGTGTTATACTCAGTACAGTTTCCTGACTACTCCCCACTAATTCTATTTTGTAGGGCTTTTACATGTCAAGTTCGACCTGGATCACTTTATCATGAAAGTGATGATGCAAAGCTGTTTGCTTCTTGGGTTAGTTTCTGTTTCCTCGATTCAATTTTTGTTGAATGTATATATTGGTTTAGCGGGCATTCAATACCCTTGTGCACTGTTTCTGCATTTTTTATTGCTTTTGTAAGTCAAAGACTGAAATACAAGTAGAACAGATTCACCTCCGTGCAAATAGTGAGCTCATTACTACTAAATTTAAAGCCCTCTATTTTGATTACTCCTAATGTTAATAGACTTGATCGATGTTTGCAAAAAAGTGGAGTAGCTCGAATATTTGACAGTATGTAATCTTTTCCCCTTATCTCCTGCTCAACAATTGTTTGCAATCAAAGTTTGGGATGCATGAGTTTTGTTGAGATTATTATTTTGGAATTATAGCCATTCCTTTTCGTACGATATTACTTATAATCAAGGAGTAATGTTGTATTTTCAGGACGTGGATTATTTGAAGTATGACAACTGTTATAACCTGGGGATCCCTCCAAAAGAACGGTATTGGCTCTTCTTACTCTCAACTTTAATTGTGAGGGTATTGCATTCGGTAGCTATAAATTTATTTGATGTGGTTTCATACTTTCCAGATACCCACCAATGCGTGAGGCCCTAAATGTGTCTGGACGCACAATTTTCTATTCGATTTGTGAATGGTAATCCAGTTTCTTGATCTGTGTTATAATATTTGGATTAGTTCACTTTTAGTTTATGGAAATCCTGATTCATAAATTCTTTATTTGACAGGGGTGTTGACGACCCTGCTTTATGGGCTGGCAAGCTCGGAAATAGTTGGCGTACTACAGACGACATCAATGATAGTTGGGCGAGGTTATAACTCTTTATCCATTAACTTGGACAGTAACTTCACGGTGTCTGGGGGTTACATCATAGTTCTACTTGCACACACTGAAACCATCATTTGTAATTTTGTAGTAAACCCTCAGAAATGGTATGTGGTATATGCTTTCACCTTAGAGGACCCTTAAAAGTGCTTTGTAACTTCCAAGTTGATTGTTCATATATGTGCATTTATTTCAGAAATTGTAGAAATTGTACAAGAATGTCTCATATTTGTTGTCTATCGTTCTTTCTCGCTGTTATTATTTGGCTGCAAGGTTTTATATACATGATCCTGCAGTTTTACTGTTAATAAAATCTTCAGTGGTCATACTGATTAAGTTGTATGTTCTTATGTTATTTAGCATGACAGCAATTGCTGATTTGAATGACAAGTGGGCAGCATATGCAGGACCTGGTGGATGGAATGGTATAAACATGAGCTTTTTAAAACAGGCATAGATATTAGGTATCAGTACTCCAACTGTGATTTATTTTTCATGCCCCATCTTTTTATTTTGGGCAGATCCTGATATGTTGGAAGTTGGCAATGGAGGCATGACTTACCAGGAGTACCGTTCTCATTTTAGCATCTGGGCTTTGATGAAGGTCCTTAAACTTCTGCTCCTTTCTTCTTGGTTTGCATGTCGCTCCCATAATTCAGATTGAACCTTCATCCATTGTCTCGCAGAGTAGTGTCACAAAAATAATCTTATATGAGCAGTTCAAAGAAGCTACTTGTTTTCTCTCGGCTGCTTTATGTCATATTTAACATCAGTTTTGACCACGCTGTCTAGTCTGATTAAAAGTATCATTTTCGTAAATCTTAATGGCCTTTATTTGTTCTGCAGTCCATGTAACGAATTTAGTTCAATTCTATCTTGCACAAGGGGCATCATAATACATGTTGCATATGAACTGTTTTGTCCTTGGCTTGATTTCATATACTTTCTAGTTCTTCACATACTGATAATTGGGCGTTCGAATATCCAGGCCCCTCTTTTGATTGGTTGCGATGTGAGAAACATGACTGCAGAAACATTTGCGATTCTAAGCAATGCGGAGGTTATTGCTGTAAACCAAGGTGAGAATTTGGTGCTAATTGGTTCGGTTGAAAGTATCATTTTGCCATATCAGTCTTTTCAACTATGAAGTTCTGAAACTAAAAGAGGAATGTTTTTGTTTTTGCAGATCCACTTGGGGTTCAGGGAAGGAAGGTTAATGTTTCTGGACCAGATGGCTGCTATCAGGTTTCCCCCCCTTTCTTGTGCTGTACAAAGTTATAGTGATTGCTTAGTCGAAACTCGATAGGATAAAATTCGTATATCCGGTTGATAGATTTAGTATCTATGGTACTCTGACAGAATATATCTCCCTTCGCATGTATCATTACGAGCCAAGGGAAAAGTTCGTTACAACTTTTGGGATCTTTAACATAAGCCCGTTGTATATCAACTGTTTCGTTAAAACTTTGGCGATAATTCTGTTTTCCAGGTTTGGGCAGGTCCTCTATCAGGCCATCGATGGGCCGTTGTTCTCTGGAACCGTTGCTCGAAAGCAAATACTATAACAGCTACATGGGAAGCACTTGGACTCGAATCCGGCATTAGTGTCTCAGTGAGAGATTTGTGGCAGGTAACGAAACTGACCTATACGACTGCTAACAATTTCATCCATTGACAGCTTTAATTCGTTTCATTCTTCTTCTTTTAACTTATTCGTTTCATGCTTATATGGCATCCAAATTTCTTGCAGCACAAAGAAGTAGCGGTCGATGCAGTATCGTCATTTGGTGCTCAAGTTGATGCTCACGACTGCCTGATGTATATTTTTACTCCCCATACCGCCTCGCTCAGAAATATAGCTTAGCCTTAAAATGGTTCCAGCGAAAGGCAGCGTCCATCTGTTAACGCATCACAACCGTTGTCTGCAACAGTTCACGGCTGTAAATCTCTAGGGTTTTGCAGAACTTGGCGACGATAGAAGTGCCAATCTGTACTGTATATTGCTCACATAAAAGTATCGTACCGCAGTTTGTATATGACTATGTACTTATTCGGAACCATCAGCTGTTGAAATAATGAGACCTAAATGTGAAACTCCCAACATTCAACATTTATAGGATAATATCTCAGTAACCAGAAACCAAGGGAAAACTTCAACTTTTATACATAAGTTCAAATAGCGAAATCGGAAACACACAAAACGAAATTGATGTCTCAGCGTTTTTTTTTTTAAAACTTCAAAAGGATTTGAGATCGGACGCAAAGGGGTAGACACATTGTGCTGGCCAACTGAGCTAATCCACATTTGCCACCTCGGTGCCTCCATTAAGTCAAGGGGGGAAAGTCATTATCATTGTCTAGTTTGAACCTCTTAAAGCAAATCCTGCAGAGTTTACCATTTAAAAGGGTACATCAGTTGCTATCTTAAATATGGCAAGAAACTCTCAAGAGATGAGAATGGCCTTACGTTGCTGCGGTAACCTGTGGGAATTCCTTGGCTGGAGGAGATGCCAATTCAGTCTGAGCAGATTGATGTACATCTGATGATGAAGGCATTTGAGTGCCAGGAAGCTGTGGGAATTCTTCAGGTGAAAATTTAAACTGGGGAGCATTTTCACTTGGGCCTGTTTCGGTGGAAACCTCAACTTGGTTAGTCTTTTGAGGCGATTTCATCCTTGGACCACGGCTGCTAGACTCCGGGATCTTTCCCCTCGCTCTTGGAGACACATTGGTGGAATCATTTTGTTCTTCAGGTAAAAATTTAAACCGAGGAGCATTTCCACTCGGGCCTGCTTTGATGGAAACCTCAGCTTGGTTAGTCTTTTGAGGTGATTTCATCCTCAGACCGCAGCTGCTAGACTCCGGGACCTTTCCCCTTGCTCTTGGAGGCACATTGGTGGAATTATTTTGATTTTGCATTACCTGAAGTATTTTAGTTTTGGGATGAGAAAGCCAGTCAGTCGTCTTTTACAGTCCAAAGTTGAAACAAAAAAGGAAGAACAAATCAGCAGTATCTAAAATTTTAATTTGAACTAAAGAATTGAGTTGAATTCGATATACCTGGTGAGGAAGGAGACATGAAAAGATTTGTTCTGCATTTTCTGCCATTTGAAAAATGACATTCCCATCTTGTTGAGCCGTATGAACCAGGGCATTCCATTTGCTCATGTCATCGGCTTCAAAAGGTGGAGCACCGTTGTGTGTAATTGAAAACTGATATGCATTTGCAGACAACAGGCTATCACAATATTCTTCGTAGTCCCCAGTGAGGTCAGATTTTTCAGATGTTCGAGTACCAAATCCAGGGACAGGAGTTGCCAGATCTGCTCTCTGTCCACCCCCATTCCTATCTAGAGTGGTCGCGAAGAATTTCTCAAGTGTCATGCCTCTGCATTCACCTGGTAGCATTAATACTTCTCGAAGTTTTTTAGCCCCAAGGGAAAAAGCAGATCTTATACGACAGAAGTTTCCTGGAGAAGATTAGGTGGTTCAGCATGTCAGCTAATTAGCATACAGAACCGGTAAGAAATCGACATACACTAGAACCGAAAGTAAGCACTTTGAATAAGAGATTTTAAAAAATGGAAATCTATATGAATTAAAGATTATTAAAAATATACCAAATTTATGCTTTGTAAATCATACCTTATTAAGAAAATGTCATCGTCTTAAATACAAAATTTTGTCTAAGACCATAATTTAATTATTGGATAGTTATGCCAATTATCAAGGTAACTATAATCTACTCTACAAACATTTTCGGCATAAGGGCACATAGATTAGACTCTTAAAACAACAGCTTCATGCATAAAAATGTTAATAGTATGATATACTTAAATCTCTCCTTGAACATGCTTTAAATAAAAAAAGGACCCCAAGCTAACAAGGCTCTCCGCTTTGTGAGGGTTGGGGAGGGAACATCTATCGTACACAGCCTTACCCTTGCGTTGCAAAGAGGCTGCTTCCACGACTCGAACCTATGACCTTTTGGTCACAAAGGAGAAACCTTTAAATGATACAAACATATCCGTTGCGACTTTGTTATTCAGTAATATTCTGCTTCAAGTTTATCACATTAACGATGATGGAGGAAGAATAGATATTCCCACTTTCATTTACCAGGGATAATACAGTATATTGCAAATTCAGTCATCTCAAAATGAGTGAACAAAAAACTGATCCAGCAGGTGAAGTGGTCAAGTACCTTTACTGACGCTACGACCTAGATTGTTATTGTCCTTTAGAGGATCCACTATGTTGAGGAACTTAATTTGGAATTCATCAACTCTAGCTGCGTTTGCCACCACTGGATCTGGAAACGCCAGCCTGCACTCTCTTACAAACTCCTCACTCAGGAGAAATTCTTCCCCCTCGTTTTGGGGTGTAACTGTAGCAAATAATACAGATAAAAGATTCTAATCAATCAGTAAACAGATCAGTTACACATTCACATATTTAAGCATAAATTACCTATGATTTCTGGAAGGGAAGATAAGGCAAATGGACCATTTATACTGATACCATAGTTGCCCCAATCAAATGTGCTATAGTATTCCAAAAACCTATGCAGGACCTGTTCACACAATTTCATAGTCGTGTTTGAACACTTGCAGATGTAAATGTGACAGCCGAACTGAAGAAACAAAACAAAAAAAATACCTCTAAAGGACCACGGAGTGATGAATGAAAGCGATTGATGATAAACAACACCAATGTTTCCAGTCCATATGATGCAATCAGGCCATATTGGGCCCCAAGAATTCGACTCTCATAGTAGCACCAAGCTTTGGTTAAGATAATACTCTGTTTGTAAAGATGGTCTTTTCCGATCAGTTGGTCAACCTGAATAAAGCACCAGGCATGTCAGTTGAAGAGGAACATTAAAATTTTCAAATGAGAGTGAGAGAGAGAGAGAGTGTGTTTGGCGCATGCGCACGTGTGTGTTTATGTTAATAAGTTTTGTTGATATTAAGTATTGCCAAGTGTAGATATTTTGTTGGTTTACGACTACTACAAAAAGATTAAGCTGTTCGGATGAGTCTCCTCCACTACTGAAGAGCCAAAAAGCTTAAGCTAGAGGGATTCGAACTCAAGATCTTCAACATGTTAAATTGTTTGTTGGTTTACCACTATCCCGGAAAAATTAAGATGTTTGCACGTGGAACAATAATTATTTATGCGAATGAAGAGCTTGAAACGACCAAAAATAATAAATAAATAAATCAGATGGAGCTGACTACATTTACTGAACCATCAAAACATTGTCTATCTATGTAAATGGAGAGCTAAGCAAAGAAAGCGACAAAAAATTGGGGATAAGCCAACTTCAAACCTTCAAACAGATCAGAACCGAAAGTTGAAGTGAAGCATGTTAACATATACAGAAGAAATTCAAAGTAATTAAGTGCAAAAATTACAAGTGCAGCTAAGTTTATATTTACAATTATTAGTACGAAATTAACAAAGGCTGTAAAAAAATTCAAGCTAGCTGAAGGAAAGCTTTTAAGAATGCTAGTTATTACTCTAAGCTACTTTTCGTTAAACAGGAAAATAAATAATAGCTTCATATTATCAAGAATAAAGATTTTAACCTGCTCCAGAAAGCACAGTGTACTGAGGCCGGCCGTCTGATTGAAGGAGATGTCAATTGCCATGTTATTCACAAAGCATTTTACGACCTTAACCTACCACCCAAAATTCCAGCAAGAACAATATCAAAAAAGTACAGTGGATCCCCCCTTTTAAAGTTAAGAAATGATAATGACTCCTTTATGCAACATGATTGATTTATTAAGAAAGAAAGCAACTGAGGCAGTGAAAATGCTTCCCTTAAACTATGACAAAAGCATTAAAATAATTTGTCTACCATTCCAATAAATATTTCACATTAAACAGAAACCACCAAAAATAAAATTTCAGATAAAAAGTAAATCCAAACAGTTTGGCTTAGCAGTAGCTTGAGGATAGAAGAAATAAGTCCAAGAGAAGGTGACATTGAGCACAGTCGGGAAGTAGGATAGACGATATCAAGGAGGAGAAGAGGAAGAAGAGGTGGAGCAATGGGCTTTTGATCTCAATTCTTAGGTTTGAATCTTGAGGTTGTGATGTATGCCATCTTTGTCAATTTCTAGTTTTCCTTGTGCGCAGCCCCTGATCTCCCCCATCTTTCTGTTTGAGTTATCTATTTTCCTGGAATGTACTAAATCAACCCGTTCACACAATTTTCTAATAAATGGAAAATAATTATATCACAATTAGCATGCACAATCCATACATTTACAAACTTATTCACCCTTTCTATATCAGAACTGAACATTAATGGTTCAGGCTCATAAGCACGAAATTAACTTTTTGTTGAAGTTCTCACAACCTAAAAAGAATTTCAACAGTGGGAGCGGATAAAAACCACTCACGAGAACAAGGCACAAGTCTTTATACTCTGAACATAAACTAATAAGCTGTCTTTTAAGTCCCAAACAGGTGTTAGGCATGCACACATATGATGTGCTTTGTACAGGTGTAGCCTTGGTTGATGTGGTACCAGGGTGCGAGGATTGATTGAGTAGATATTTCTTCATTTTATCACACACTTTTGGGAATCACTACTTGTCAAGATGGAGAAAAATCCTACATAACAAGGGTCAGAAGTCACTCTTAGAGTACCAAGAGCAATTGGGGTCTAGAGTACTAATGTTGGTCTAATTTCAAGATACGGGGATAGGATGTGGCCCTCATGCTTAGCGTATAATGAGAAGAAAAGAAAGAACTGACAAACTTTTCACTTTTGGACATTTTCATTTGTGAAAGTAAAGGGGTAAATAGCCCTTAATGCGAATAACTGAAATAACAGACAATCAAGAATGAGGAAGGAAAATACTAAAAAGGATAGATGAAATATGTAACCAAAAATATAGCAAACATGCAGATCAATTATTGGAAAGGGTAAAAGGAGCTAAGAAATCTCAACCCGTGCGCGAATGTAGCGGACATCCTTAATCTGGAACTCAGAGTCCTGTGCTTGACGACTCCTGAGGATCGCACAGATTTTACGAGCAAGCCCCTCCATCAAGTTTGGACGGCAGAGAGCAGTCAAATCAATATCTCCATCAGGAAGATAGGCCTTCAATGGGAATGAGCCAAAGGAGTAGAACTGTAACGCAAGCTGTTCCACAAGCTCACATTAATTTAGGGATATTAAAATAGCAGCATACAATAATTGTAATGAATCAATCAAAGATTCCCCCACTAGGGTTTTCTTATTACAAATAGCAGTTAGAAGTTAAAACATCGAAATCCTGTATCTCTCAATTATATTAATTTCAGGTCCACGGAATGAAACACGTGGATTTCAAATATGAGTGACAATCAGATTCCAAAGTGAATGGCCACGTACGTTATGTATTGATCAAGAAAGAAGAGGAAAACCCTAAAAGCATATCCAACACATGCCAAACCCTAAAAGCATATCCAACACAAACAGTTAACGTACTGGATGCTTAATGTTATGGAAGCCGCATAAATAAGTTCTCTGAAGATAGGTCAGACTTTCATAGAACTAGAACCTATGAATACAACTTGTAATAAAAATGAAATACAAAACCCTCCAAGATGACATTGAAAGCTGGACATATGACGCTAGGTCATGTGGCAGTGGCATCGGAAGACATCAGCAAGATCTAAGGAATAACTCCGTGCTCTTTTTGTGACAGATAAGAGATACCAATTTCATTATCCAGACATGCTACAATGTCAAACAGTTACTTCATGTTGACACCTAAAACTTTGTTTGGTTTCGTTTGGCTGTAACGACAAACCACACTTCCATACGTGTAGCGCAGCTCTTTCCGCGCCAATGGGAAATCAAATAAATTACTAGGTATGCTGACTATACTTACAGAATCCAATTGATAAAGGTAACAATGGGAATGCTTCGAAATGCTAGGGAGGGAGCATACATCTAATCACAGAAATGGATACACATAGATAAATCCAGACCCTTTTATAGATTTTAATTTTACTGACATTCTTCCATCTTAAGACATTGAGATTTACCAATCTAGAAAACATACAGAGGTAATCAATGAACCCAAAATTATGAAGCACAGACCTATAGCAATGTGATGAAGTACAATTTTACTTCCTCACGAACAGACTTCAAAGAAGCATGGATTACAGTTATCAAAAATAGAATAACATAAAAAAAAATAAAAAATCCACCATCGTTGATTTCTCTTCGCGCCAAGAAGCAAAAATAGAAAAAAGAAAAGTAGGGAGCTGGGGAACTTCTCACCTCAGGTGGCAAATGACATACAAGAAGCCCCTGAACATAATTAGCAAAAATCCTCCGCCTCAACTCAGATTCAACATTTGGTTGAATAGTTCGTAAAATCTCTTGGGTCCTTTGTTCTAGAGAGGACCACAGTTCTGCATCCATCGACCTCAACAAGGTCTTAGTGGAGGACGAAGAAGATTGAAAATAAGGGGAATATGATTACCCCACCTGACAATCTTCCATAAATATAAAGGTAAGACTTTCAACTCTTCAAAAATGCAACCCAGGAAATCCACACAAACACTCTCCCAGTGATGATTTCAACAAATGAATGTTTACACGGTTTTAGGAACCTGCAAAACTAAGAAATTTAAAATAATGAGTTTTTGGTGCAGGGAGGGGGAGGAATGAGATGGGCTGGTTAAAAAAAAAAACTGAGAACAGAAAGAGAAGGATAGACCGGGGCACCTTCAGCAGATGAGTAGCAATTGAAATAGCTCACAGATCAGTAGAGCTTAATCCAGGATGTGCATTCAGCAGAAGAGAAAAAAACCAGCACTTAGATGCTTGAAATTCTATGCAGAGTTCGTCCATATCTGAACTCTGTATTTAAAGTCCTTGTCTGTGCTGAAAATTATGTGTTTTGGGGCTATTTTGACATGTGTGCTATGAGGATAGGGGAAAAGGAATCGTGAAATAACTGATGAAAAATAGAAAAGATTCCCAAGTCCTCAAGGGAAATTATCTGAAGAAACTCTACAAGCACGAAAAAATATAGAAGAAAAGGACAGAACTCAGAAGTGATATGAACTATCAAATAACGGAAAACACTCCTTTATGAGGAAGCTCCAAGCTCCAAGGCCAACTTAGAAGCAAAAGAGCAGAAGCGAAGCAAAATGATGAAGGGGAAAGAGATGGAATACTATGAATGCAAACACATCTTGCCACGAAAACATCTTGCCGCCAAGATAACTTAAAGTACAATCCAATGAAACGGTCTTAATCAAAGCTTACAACCATATAAAAGTTTAGTCTAACTTTTCTCAAATTTTCAGTTTTTTTCTGAAAACTAGATTCTTCTCCATAAATGAGTTAACAAACAAAGAAAAATGTAATGGGATTAAGAATACAAATTTCTGTGGCTTGCATACATGGTACTAATTAGTCCACCCTCAAATGTTTCTCATTGTTACCTCTCCAAGTTTTACCCTACTTAAATCCTCAGATGCATGACCCTAATTAATATCAAATCCTAAATTTCTCCTTCCTGAGTAAAATATTAATTGCATTGGTTACAAATAGATTTAGAATTTGTTTTCATACCCAATACTTGTCTTCCTACCAAAAACGTCAGTTTAACCTAGGGGCACTCATTGGGGCCCACAATCGACTATGCCACATTGACCACAACCAGTTGTTCCAGCTCCAGTGCGTGCAGGCATCTCTATAGTTCTCCTTTAATTCGGGCTCATAACCAGAAAAATTACTGAATGTCCCCACCCACCCCACTGTGATGGGCCCTACAATAAAAGTGGTTCCACATTGTTATTTTGATCCTGCCGCAATGTATCTAAATTACCCCATGACTAGCCAAGTCAAGATGGCCTGAAAATCATCTTCCATTAACTTCGAAGAGCACAGGTGTGAGAAAACAATACAGGTATGTATGAAAAACTATGATTGTTGGACAGGCGCCTGCCAACTTTATCCAAAAGAAGATGAACAAATGAACTTTCTAGACACCCTAATGTACCACAAAATTGTAAAGCACAGCTAGCGTAGTGATATCCACCAAAACAACTTCCTTGTTGGCCGGTTAGCTCTATAACATCCTTAACAATCATGTCTTGGTCGTAAAGGACAGAAACAACTCAATTTGAACTTCAGTTGTCTTTTCAAACATCCTTTGATCCAAGCTAAAGAAGATTGCACCAAAAAATGATTAAGGCTCTGAAAGGACTTAAAAATCACCTGGATACTTTGCTTTTAGACAACTCATGCTAAGATCACTCCCATTTGCTTACTGATAGGTAGGAGTCGTTGGGAGTTCTTTCATAGGTTACGAAACAATAACTTCATCTTGTTTTGGGAGTTCTTTCATAGGTTACGAAACAATAACCAAATCAGGTGAGCCATGAAGCTAATAGAGAATTCCACTTATCATATAAATCTCCCCTGTAACATATCCAAGAAGCTAAACTAGTATGCTGTTTTTCTTTTATGCCCAATGGTCTAATGTTTACCGACAAATCTATTATCTACAGACCAATCCCACTCTTGCAATGGTTTCCAGACTTAAAAGGTGACCTTTACATCATGGGTTTAATACGCAGAGTTAGAGTTAATCCTTCATGCTCCTCACACCCATATGGTTTGAAGGCCGTATATGAGGCATTCCGCTAACATGTTTCCATTTTCAGCTGACTATTATTTAGGAATAATATGCAATGATGTTAACTGAGATTGAAAAACTTAATACATTAAGTTTCCCATTAGATAAGTGATTGAAAAAATAAACTTTCTATTTCTCGTTCTCTTTTGTCGGTTCTCCATCATAAACTTTAATCTTGGAAAGAAAAAAACCACATCCAAAATCCAATCTAAGGGGTCGGTGCAATGCTCTCAGATTAGCAACATGTTTGTGCTTTCCTTATTTGGGTACGATGTTTTGAGTAACAACTAAACTGGGTAAGCTGCCTACCCAAAAAGCAAAGAAAAACCTACTACTATGGTGTCTTACAAACACATTAATCCATCATTAACTTGCTTATTGCAAACAAAGTCACAAGCTAGAAGCACTTTTCCAAACAGAACAATCGTAACATTTCGAATAAAAATCCCATCTTTCACAATAGGTAAAAACTACAACTGAAATTCTCCAAAACCCAGCTAAATATTTCAAAAAACAACCAAATATGGAAAAGCATTCACTGCGAACGAAAACAGCATTAAAGTTCAGAGCTTTCTACCTTTCATGGCGGTTTCCTTCTGCTCCTCCGCTTCATCTTCCGCTTTTGACCAGAACCCACTTCTTCGTGGGACCCACCAAACGCAAGCAAGTTCATCGCCACCATCTTCTTCGCTGGTCAAAACCCTAATTCCAGACCCAAAAGTAAAACCCCAGCAAAGAGCATATTCTCGAAACAGTGAAAGTCTTCACTGCTCCAATGGCAGTATAATTTCGAGGATAATACTTGCCTACTGATAGGTCAGTAACCAATTTTTACTGACCATTGTCTAGCTCAATAGAAATGCTACACCTGTCCATTTGATTGACATCCTTCTTGCTTCCATAACCTGATAACCAAACAACATTCTTCTTCCTCCCATAAACCCCACCAGACATGGCTGACCAACCCCTCACCTCCTCCAACCTCTGCCGTCCTACAACCCCACTCTAGTCTTCCTTTTCAGCCTCTTCCCGCCGACCCCACCTCGTCTCCTCTCTCCCATCCGGCGACCCCACCTCATCCCCTCCCCTATCTCTCTTCGTCGAAGGCCCCACCCTTAATCCACGCTCTTCTACCCCAAGGCAGCCATACCAGCAGAGTTTAGAGGAGAAAATGGTGCTTTCATGAGAAAGGAGATAGGGTTTTGGGATGGCGGGACCAGCTATACAAACAGACCGGGACCCATCTGATGACGTGGCTAAAATAAAAATCCGAGATTTAATCTTAGGCGTACATTCATACACGTGTGCAGTGGATAAACCCATTTTATTAAGACCCGCCAAAATTAGCCCCCCACCCTCCAACCCATTTAATTCCCGCCATGATAACTCTCTCTTCGCCTAAAACCCTATCTCCTTTCTCATTTCTCTGCAACCCCATCCCAAAACCCCAAATCCAAAACCCTAAATTCGCCGCGGTGACCCAATACTCAGACTCCAATTCGAAGCCAACCCTCGATTCCGATTGTGAATCGGTGTTCCAGACAGAGAGGGGTCTTAAATTCGACGTCGGCGGGACCTTCTTCCGCCACGAAAGCGCCACCGGCCGCGACCTCGGCGTGCTCGCCGCCGCTCTGTACAAGAAGTCCAAGGGCAAATTGCGAGTTCTCGATGCACTGTGTGGCTGCGGGATTCGGTCTCTTAGGTACCTCGTCGAGGCGGAGGCCGATTTTGTTTTGGCAAATGACGCGAATGATGAGAACAAGAAAGTTATCACGGAGAACTTGTCGCAAGTGGAGAGTGGTTCCGGGGACGAGGCGAGGTGGGAGGTGTCGCTTACGGATGCGAATCGGATCATGACCGAGTGTTATCTGAAAAGGGATTTCTTTGATTTGATTGACATTGATTCGTTTGGGAGCGATTCGTCGTTTTTGAGGTCGGCGTTTAATGCTTTGAAGTTGAATGGATTGTTGTATGTTACTTCAACTGATGGGTTCTCGTCCGGTGGTCGCAGGCCTCAACAGTGAGTGACAAATCTAATTTCAAGCAAAATGGTTGTTTCAATTCTCCATTCCTTTAAAGTTTGATGCTTTGCGCAATACCATGTTCATTTATTGACCAATTGGTATTGCAGCACTAACTGCATTTTTTCTTGATGCGTTCGAATTTGATATCGTAATTAAATGGGATTTACAATTGAACGAGAAGTTGGAGACTTTACATTTGAAGGTTGTATTGGTTGATCGCATACAATTCTGATATCTTTTACTTTGTTTCTGTAGAACTTTAGCTGCATATGGAGCTTATGTCCGGCCAATGCCATACTCGAATGAGCTCGGTTTGCGAATGCTTATTGGAGGCGCTGTGCGGGAAGCTTCAGTGCTGGGGTATCGAGTTACTCCGCTGTTTTCATACTATTCATATCATGGACCAATTTTCAGAGTCATGCTCCGAGTCAATCGGGGAAAGCTTCCTGATAACAAGTAAGGTGGTTGCATGATTTTGTATGTGTGTGAAAGCTGTGTGGTTTATTAGGCCTCTTATGTTGCTGCTGATCAATTTTTATACTTTCTCCGACAGACATTATGGGTTCATCAGCTACTGCAACAGCTGTGGAAGTTCTAAAGAGTACTCTTGGGCTGAACTTGGTCGGATCGGTTGCCCCTGCAGTGACTCAAAGGTATTGGATAATGTTTAGGTCGTATGATTTCGTTTTGTTGACTTCCCAAGTTTTTGTTCTTTCTTGCACTATAAAAGATTAATCTTGAATCTCTGAATATGATTCTTTAGTTTTTGTTTTTTTCACGAAAAGAATTACCGCCAAAATGATTTTTATTTAACGACCAAAGCTAAAACTCGGTCATAAGTTAAGGATCAATATTCCAATGTACTCTAATCTTAAATGAAATCTTAAGTTGTTTCGGTGTTTTGTAGGTCTCCAAGTCACTTGTTGTTTCTGGCCCTCTCTGGACAGGGCCGTTGCATGACACTGCTTATATTACAGAAATGTTAAGTTTGGCCGAGGAATGGGGATGGGCAGGCATTGAAACAGGAACTGATCCGGACAAACTTTTGAACCACATGGTGGCTGAGAGTGACCCCAGATTACCCTTTGGCTACACCAAGTTGGACGAGGTCCTCAGTAAAAAAAATTTACCACTTCACTATTGTTCCCAAAGTTGTTAATCTGGGAAAATGATGGATTTTCTGTTTTTACTGTCCCAGGTGGCAAGCCGTGCGAAAGTAAATTCTCCGTCACTGAGAGCCGTGATGTCCACCCTTCAAAAGGTAATTTCCACACTACTCCAGTGTGTCATATGAGTGCATGTTTGACATTTGTTTTGGGGGGTGTTGGGAATAGAGTAGGGTTCTCTCCCCTCCCATTCTTGCTCCTCCTTTCTCACTTTTCTTTTTGTCTCTCTCTTGTTTTCTCTCTCTCTCTCTCAATAAAGAAGTCAACACAAGATGTTGAAGTGGCTTCATGACTGTGCAAATATGACGGGAGAGAAGGGAAGGAGAATTCGGAGGGGAGAGAATCTTACTCCGTTGGATATATGGGTGCATGTTTTCCACTTGGGGTTTTAGGAGCTTTTGGGTATCAGTGCATGATGGACACTTGTTAGATATGGCCTTGCATGTTTGCCAATTGTACAAAGAAAAATTTGAGTAGAGCAGCATTATCGGTTACAAGTGCGTGTTGAATACTTGTTTAATTTGCAGTGCATGGTGGACGCTTGTTGGGTACGGTTTTGCATGTTTGCCCATTGTATGGTGAAAAAGTTGAGTTGGAAAGCCTGGTCAGTTACAAATGCTTGTTGACACTTGTCGGTATGGTTTTGCATGTATGCCATTTGATGGAGAAAAACTTGAGTATGACAGTCTAACCACTGACTACTTAGAAGTGCATGGTTGACACTTGTCGTGTATGAGTTACATGTTTGACAGCCTACTTTGGTAGTTATATAGAGAAAAACTTTGGTAGGTCAAAACCATTTTCACAAAGAGTATAACTGTGTGTATTGGGAGTTGTACTTGAAGTTGGATAAAAACACAACCCCGTTCCATTGTCAGAGTCCCTACATTGACTTGCTGCCACCTTATAGTTTTGGCCCGGAGGCTTGGCCCACTTGGGCAAAGAAAGTCTCATTAGCATTGAGTTAGGCGGGCTGTTGGGTTTAGGTTTTACTCTCAATAGTTTTTTCGTTTCAGTCCAAAGACTAATACTCTCTTGCAGGAAGGATATGCTGTGAGTAGGTCACACATTGAATCCAATGCAATCAAGACGAATTGTCCGATGGAAGACTGCATTAGAATTGCCAAGCAACTTCAGCAGCGCTGAATCACACCCGTGAGAAGACGAGTTTCCAGACGCATTGCACTTCCGTTAGGGTCGAGGGCACTGGCGAATCAAAGAAGAGCGGGGGACCTCTCACCTGGGCCAGTAAAGCAGCATCTCATTTTGTTGTGCGACGTGGAGGTGTTGTCACTCAATGAGAGCAGCAATGTTGTGGCTGCTCTGCTCTGCTCTGCTCAGCTCATGCTATAATGCAGTCTCACTGTGATATCGTATGTAACATTTTAGAGTCGGATTCATAAATTTGGTTTTGACACTTTTCGATACCCGAAACTCGGGAAAACCTTGCAAGTTTCCACAGAAAGCAATGATCTGAAACATTGATTGTAACTTGGGAGCAAATTGTTACATGTAAGAAACAGTTTGGGGGAGAAAATGGACTACTCTCGTATCAATGCTGTCAAATACTCGAATTCAACGATTTTGCATCACCGTGTAAACCTGCAAATCTGAGACTGCACATAAACGTCGGAGAACGAAAGAAACAATCAATTGAAAATTCACTTTGTGTTCTTCAAACTGTGGATTAGGGTTTAACTAAATAGATTAGGCGAGTTTATCTGAAAACAAAAGTGGAGAAACCATGATATAAAACCATAACGAATTCTAAAATTGCATTATCATCAAAATAAAACATCCAAAAACATTGTACTTTAATCCCCAAAACGTCTAAACAATAACACGAGAATCACAAAAAAGTGCTACGTAACTCAGTCCAGAAGATTGTGTAGATACTGGGAGGCGACCATCACATAATGAAAGGATCGATATGCTCAGATCAAGTACGAGCAGGAACACCAGCTCCAGCAGGTCGGGGAGCTTGACCAGGCTGACCGGGCCTTGGGGCATCATCCTGGAAATCCAAATACAAGCATATCAGGTAAACTAGAATAACATATCAACTGTAAGCATCGGCCACCAGGCTCCTTAGACATTAAAATATGTATGTGCCAAGAGCAAACCAAAAGCATGCAAGGAACACGAAATGCCTAGCAACACAATATAAAATAGACAGCCACGTAGATAAAATCGGTTGTGGAAAAGTACATTGAAAAACCAACACTATAGACACGAAATACAGTTCCGAATCAGCCAATGGAACTGTAAAGGCTTCGGAAAAATAAACTTAGATTCTACATGATTAAATTGTTTCTGGTAACAGCACCACAAATCTAACAGGGCTTAAGTTCTAGCCAAACATGGAATTAAAATAATTTTCAATCATCCATCACTCTGTCTTCAATGGTTGAACAAGCAGCATACAAACAATCAGTTAGGTAAAAATTTGGCGGGTCCTATTTCCTTGTACAAAATGGAGTTGCTTGGAGCAGGTTTCATGGAACAAACTATTCGGGATGTATATGTTTCAATTAGGTTTTGGGAATAACTTAATACGGCACAGTACATGCAATGAATCAATGACACCGTTATATAGAAGAGAACAAACATTGACAATCAAATATCAAACACGAGAACTCACCCTGCGTCTGATGAATCGCTGTGGTGGCTCACGGTTCCTCCTGTTGGTGCGGGATCGCACCCTCACAACATGGGAGTGAATTGCACAGGAAACACAGTACTGCATCTTGGCATACAGCTTAGGCAACGTGTATTCTACACATCACAAACAACACCAACAAAAAAATCAATCCTTTACATCTCCATATGATCTCAATATCCAAATGCAATAAACAATCTACAAATTTAACCAACCACCGCGATAATCGCATAAAAAAAACCGATAAATCAATAACAAATTAAGAAGAAACAGAGAAATGTGAGGGAAAATTGGAACTTACGCTCATAGATACAGGCTTCCTGAACATCTCTCACAGCAGCTTGCTCGACGATGTTCCTCACCAAGAATCTCTTGATGGCCTTGTCCTAGTTCATCACCAATACAAAATCAAATTCAATCAATCACGTATTTATACGATTCGTATACATATACGTATACAGAAACGTACAAATGTATACATATATATACCTTGGGGCAGCACTTGCCGCAGTTGGAGCAACGGATGAACTTGACGTGTCCGCGGCCGTGCTTGTTGCGACCTCCATTTCTGCGCTTGAAAGTCTGCAGAGAAAAAACACGAAAATTAAGCAAAAAGAAACAGAGGACGGAGAGATGGATCAAACGCGGCGTTTAGGGCGGAGCTCTGACCATGGCGTTCCGAGAGGAGGAGATCTGAGAGTTCTGGGGCCGTTTAGGGTTTTTCTCGCTGCTGCAGAAGCCAGAAAGTGAGTGGTTTTGGGAAGGCTTATGTTTTATACGGGAGAGCGGCCTGGCGCCCTAGCCCAGCAAAACGGGCCTTCGTTGTTGCACATTTGTAATTGCGTCCCCATTTTTTTTGTTTATTGACCTTTTGATCCCTATAATTTCTAATTAGAAACCAAAATTAATATTGAACTTGGGAAGAAAATCATAGCTGTTATCATCCTAAGGATTAGACAATGACATTACGGTATAATGATATTCTTACTCACTTATAAGTGGAAAATCTACGATTTTGTTAACTTACCTAATTTTTATATGATTTACATCAAATCTCCACCTTTTGAAGTAGAATATCATTGCATAAAAAAAATTTAAAGTATTGTAGTTTTTGCTCAGGTAAAAACCAATAACCACAATATCTTTGGCTGGAGAGGTTTTTTCAGAATTATGATCCGGTACATCAGGTGTGATAAAATAATTGGTTAGAAACTTGAGAAAAAAATTCTAATCAATTATATTATGATACTTGATATACCGAACCGTATTCTTTAAACACTAAAAAATTTGCTCCTTGGTTGAGATGAGTTGAAATTTGAAGCTCTTGATTTTTGGTTATTTTCCTGTAATTGTAATTCAATTTTGGGTTTTCATTTAATAATCTGCGCCATATTTTATTCTTTTATAAATAATTTTCTTTTGTTAAACAGAATGCCCAATGGACCAGAGGAGATATCATCTGCTCAGAAAACCCAATTGGACTAATCTTCTTTTAAGGACAACTCGGAAAAGATTGCGATAGCGTAGTGATTAGCACACCCGTTTTCTTCTTTTGTAAACTCTTCCTCTTGTGCGTGACAAGGAAAAGAGTGCGAAAATCACTTTCCGTTCATTGTATATCAATTGCAAACCCCTCAGTCATAACAAGAAGCAAATTTCAGCCAGAAAAACAGACAAAAGCTCCAATGATGCAGTATCAACAAAACATCAAATACTGGAACTTACAAAAACAGAGATTAAAAAAGTACAGAAACTCATAAACTTGGAACATATCCATGATTAAATAAGGGTCCTCATTTGTCACGTTGGTTGTTTTATCTTCATGAACTCAACCAGCTGCAAATCCGGCCACCTTGTTTTGCTCAAGGGCTTTCTTTCTCGTACACTTCACTGGCATACTTCCAGTTGATGACTTTCCATATGTTCTTCAGATAATCTGGTCTCACATTCTTGTACTGCAGCTCGAAAAATGGATGTGTCTTAATTCAAACTTTCATGTCGCATGATACACGAAAGGGATAGGAGGAAACTAATAATACAAACAGTTGACAAGAGCAAACACCACTTGACATGTATTCTACAAAAAAATCATCATTGGACTTGGATAAAATTGATGACAGTGATAAATTGAATAAACGATGAGCTTGTTTCAGGTCTCGGGGCATTTCAGATGCTAGTTCAAATAGTGACAGAAAAGGATGGAGGCTGTGTACAGACACCAAACATTATAGGAAAACGAGAATCAGTGTCACTTCCGTAGCGTCTGAATGAAAGCCTAACTATAAACTTCGTCCCAAGGAATGATCTATCCCCCATAAACAATTCAATTCCAAGGAGTAAAACCAATTTGTCCTTCACAAAGACAGTTTTAACAACCCTCCTACCTAATCCACTTGTACTCCACAAGACAAACAATATCTTAGACTTCCAAGGCTCGCCAATTAGGCAATAAGAGTGTGTCGATCTGTATTGACTCTTATATACTACACTTAGTCACTTAAAAACTGATAAGTGAAAATAACTGGTAAGTGTGTCAATCTGTATTGACTCTTATATACCTGTAAGTAGTACGCATGCTCCCAAACGTCAATACCAAGTAATGGAACCAAAGATGCTCCCTTAGTAACCAATGGATCCTGTAACAAGTTACTCAAATTAAAGAATATTCAGATGAAACAAATACCATAATTGTGTGATGCATATCAACTACTACAAGTGCTTTGGACAAAGAGATTCAGAACAGAAACCTTCGTAAATCCTAAAGTCCTGAATGTTGAATAATCCTTGAGATAGGGTAACAAGAAAACAAATCTTCAACATGAGTTCTATGCTCGAGCTAAAGTTTTAGACTAAGTCTAACCGTCATAAATCAACAGCCAACAGTAGCCTACATGATTACTGGAAAGAAGATATACCATTCCGTAAGGAACTAATAGTAACAATTCACGAGGAGTCTAAACTACATTGCTGAGAGGCTATCATTGCTATCAATGTAAAACAAATGGATTTGTGCAACTTGAATATGGCTAGAAGTAATGTTGAGTAGACCTAAAAGAAAATTCTGCGCTACTAGATTAGATGGTATTGAAGTAAATATTTGAATTTACCTGATTTGCGGTGGTTTCAACCACAAGTTTGTTAAACTCTTTGTCTAGAGCAAGCCACTGCCAAGAAAGATCAAACAAGCATGTGAACAGATTGAATGTCAATTGAAGCATCTAGTTGAATGACATGGAACAAATGCTGTAAAATCAAGAAGACGAAAACTTACCACCCATCCAGAACCCTGCAAAGCAGCGCCTTCTGCACTGATCTTTTGCACCAATGCTTCAAAAGTTCCAAAATTTGTGTCAATAGCCCAGCCCAGGTTACCATGAGGGGGCTCGCCACCACCGTGCTGCCATAAATAAAGCATTACTGTATTGGGTAAATGAGCGGTTAATAACCCGCTTGTAAGATAGAGAGAAAGGGTAACATGAACTCACACTAACAGGAGTCAGATTCTTCCAGAAAATCGAGTGGTTTACATGACCTGCGAGAAAAAAGAAACCCCTTTTACATTTATCTTTTAAAAGAAAAGACAATGCATTTCGGCATGGAAACAAACAAAATCATGAGCTTAAATCCTGAGATTAACAAGACATCCAAGAACTTGAAACCAAAGAATTAAATCAGCGGTTTCGATTGCGGTAATTCGTATAAGTAGCAGCCTAATTACGGGAAAACTAACACAATGCTAGCTAATTGAATTGCTACTTCTAATATCAGTTTACTTCCACAAACAATTATAATTCAACAAATATTTGAACATTTTAATCAAATTTAAACTTTTTTTTTTAACAAATTGAACAAAAATTCCTAATCTGAAAATGCAACAAATGAAAACAAATAGATAATTACAAAAATAGCACAGAGATACAGAGAGAGATGTTTGACCTCCGCCATTGAACTTGATGGCGCTCTGCAACTTAACAACGGCAGCAGCGTCGCCCTTGCCGATGGCGTCGTGGAGCTGCTCGAGAGCTTTGTTGTAGTTGGTGACGTAAGCCTGGTGGTGCTTCTGGTGGTGGATCTGCATGATCTCGCCGCTGATTGCAGGCTCCAGGGCGCCAAAGTCGTAGGGAAGGTCGGGGAGCGAGAAGGTCTGCAGGCCACGAGAATGGGCGAGGATTCTGGGCTGGCTCTGAAGACCTAATCGGAGGGCTTTACTGGCCATGACAGCTCGGAGAGCCATGGAAATGCTGCTTGCGAAGAACTTAGAGTGAGTAGAGAGAAACAGTACGAGAAGACGAGAGAAGACATGTGGAGAGTGGGGTACATATTTTAGGTGCGAATCTGTGGGCATAGTAGGGAAATGCAAACTATGGGGCAGATACATTGGGCCTCTTGTGGGCTTAATCCAATAATTCCTGCCTTAAATTTTTATTTTTTATTTTTAATAGAAGCGATTTTAGGACGGTGGAAGGATTGAATTTGTATACCAAAATGAATGTCCTTAACTAACTAAACTACAAATTATTTACTCTAGGGCCCTCCAAAGATTAATTCCTTTTGCATTCAAAAACTACCTTGTCATTAGTACTACGACTAGGTAGTTTTAGGTTCGACTGGTGGTCTTAAAATCAGTCTTGGCCAACAAGCTGAGGATTTTGGGGTTTCTTGGTACTTCCAGTTTGTGTTGCAAGCATGCCTACTCATTGCCCAAGGCCGGGTGAGTAAAGTGAAGTTGGTAATTTTTGATTGCGCTTGATCTGACTCTTTCAATGTGATTGAAGACCTAAACATGAAGAAAATCCCAACCCAATTCAATCCTAATTACCTTAAATCCCACCAGAGAAACCTCAATTTCTGGCTTTTCAATCCCTAGAATTTTTATGCCTTTGATGCCCAGACCTTATCAATCTTCAGCCTTTTCCCCAATCCCCTTCATGAACGACACCCTCTCTCCTCTGCCTTTTTGGCTTTGTCTGGTGTTTGAAAGGGGAAAAGGATTCTTGCCGGATTTTTTTCGTGGGGATCCCGATGATCTCTTGATCGTGTTACATTCAATTTTCTCCTTCTACACACACTCTTTTTGTTTTTTCTTTGATTTTTATTAAGTTCGGTGACTTAGAAAATAAAAGGTGCGAAATGTATAAATCGGTAATACTACACTTATCATCTAGTTGTACAGTCATTTATACTATCTCTCTAATATAAACCGCCAACACAACTCATTCTCACTTCTAACAACCCCGTGCTCTCTCTCCTGCAGCCGCACTCTCCCTTAGGTACTCTCCAGTTGATGACTTTCCATATGTTCTTCAGATAATCTGGTCTCACATTCTTGTACTGCAACTCGGAAAACATGTGTTTCTTAATTCAAACTTTCACTGGCATGATACACAAAAATGATAGGAAGAAACTTAATACAGACAGCTAACAAGAGCAAACACCACTGACATGTGTTGTACAAAAAATCATCATTGGACTTGGTAAAAAGTGATGACAATTTTAAGCTGAATAAACGATGAGCTTGTATGAGCTCTCCGTGGCATTTCAGATGCTAATTCAAGTACTGACAGAAAAGGATGGTGGCTGTGAACAGACACCAAATGTTATAGGAAAACAAGAATCAGTGTCACTTAGTGTCTGATCGAAAGCCTAACTATAAACTTCGTCGCTCGAAAAGACCTGTCCCCCATAAGCAATTCAACTCCAAGGAGCAAAAACTGATTTGCCCTTCACAAAGGCAGTTTTAACAACCCTCCTACCTAATCCACTTGTACACAAGATAACAATATCGTAGACTTCCAAGGCTCACCAATTAGGCAATCAAGAGACTG